ATCCTAACTCTCAGCCGAACACAGAACTGAGTTTATGACCTGCTCTTGTTGTCTGACTGTATTTTTCTGAATAAAGAAGGAAACTTCCTGCAGCTTTGACTTTAAAGGCTTTTCAGACGTCATCTCCTTTTTTTGAGTTCTCTTCAGTCATGTTTCATCAAAGCTCTGATTGGATTCTATTGGCTTTGTTATTGGAGGTCTACAGTCATGTGACCTGCTGTCCAGCTGTTCTATTGGTTCTCCGATTAGTCACTTTAATAACATCTTTAAAACCTCTGTGAAGTTGTTATGAAAAAAAATCCAAAAACACAGAATCACAAGAAAAGAATAATGACGTTCTCAACCAGCAGGTGGCGCAATGCCTCCACTCAGACCGTCAGCAACTCAGTCATAAGGGTTTTATATTTCATATACACTCCCACTCTAACTTATTCAGCCCCCATCACAAATCAGGTTCATTGGCAAATTGTTTCTGATAAACAACTGAAACCAGAACAAGTGAAACCGACCAGCAGAACCAGCACTACAGGGGCTTTCTCCCATTTCAACACAAAATGCCACTTTCAATGACTACTGCTGTCTCTGAATGATTCAACTCCTTAACAAGCATCTTTAGTGCTTAGTAGAGACTCCAGGTTCTCATGACATGTTCTCCTATGATTTGCTGACACTGGACTGAATCCATCTTGGCTTTCAGGGGTCATTTAGGGGGTTGACGATTTTTGAGAAAGCAGTGGTCAATAAAAGTGGCATTCTGCCTTGAATTTGGAGAAACCACCTGTAATGCTGGTTGTGTTGAACTATTTACGTTGTTGTTTCAGTTGTTCTTCAAAACAGTTTGTCCAGATTGCCAATAAACCTGATTTGTAACGGGGGTTGGATCATTTTGAATGCAACTGTATACATTCGATTCAGTTTATTTATGGAGCACAGTTCACAGCGTATGTCACCTCACAGGACTTAACATGGGCAGGTGAACACCTCTGGCTTTAAACAGGCCTCGGCCCCGCCCCGGCCCGGCCCGCCCCGGCCGGGTTAGGGTCTGAATGGAGTCAGAGCTCCATCTAGTGGACAGACGATGCAACGACAGCATTCTGCACGACTGACACTTAACAGCATTTACTGTTTTATGAGAAAATGACCAGACGGTAAACCAGAACATCACCAAAATGTAGCCATCTCTTCATTATGTCATTATCAACATTTCCTGAAAAGCCGTTCAGAACTTTCAGAGTTATTTTGCTAATAAACATAAACGTTGACTAAAAGGTCACCTCCTTGATGGAGGTAATAATAATATTCTGTATGTAAGGGCTGCATGTGGCTCAGTGGTTAGC